AAATTGGCTTGGGAGAATTGGAATGGCATACATATTTAACGGGCCATCAGTTTAGTAACCCAAAATCATCCCTAAATGGGATGCGTAATTTTTTAGTAAAAGTCAATTATAAGATATATTTTATATTTGATTTAAAAATCTTTTAGTATAATTTTTTAAACTTAATATTTATTCAAATATTTAAAAACTTATACTTGATACTTAACTCAGCAAGTATTAAGTAACTTAATTTATATATATATATTCTTATATACTTGTCAAATAATATTTTACTTTTAATTTAAGTTTAAATAAAACTATTAAAATTTTAATAAAGTATTATTTATTAAAATCTAAACTTAAATATAATTTAAATAACAATAAAGAACTAAAATTTAGTTTATATATAGAATTCAAATCTATTTACTATTAAAAAATGAAACTCAGTTAAATAATTAATAATAAAGAACAAAAAAAATATACCTAAAAAATAAATAATGAAAATAAATTAAATATCAAAATAAAAGTTCTTCAAAGAAGATGTTTAGGATTTTAGAGTCAAAGGTCCACATAATCCCCTGCCTTGGTTTGTTAGAAAAAATAGTGGTTGATGGTGTTGTATCTATTTTAATATTTTGATATCTATGTTTTTTACTTATAATCTTTATCATGTTAAATTTAGAATTTGAAGTTGAAAAATCATTTATACAATAATCAAAAACTTTGACTCAAAAATTACTAATAAAAAAATGAAAAGAAAACTAAAAAAGATAAAGTTTTGAAGTTGTATCTATTCACTGTTGTCTAAAAGTGTAAGGAAGGGAAAAAGTTGTTAGTTGTTTGTATAATATGTGTTTGGTTTAATATTTGTTATTTATAGGTTATCTGCATAATTTCTTTTATTTTTATATATTATTATTATATAAATATTAAATATAATAAGGATATATAAATTTTCAATTATACAAGTATAAATAATATATTAATTAAAGAAAATGGTTAAACAACTCGAGTAAATAATTATGAACTCTTATACTTATTATTTAATTTGATACTTATAGGTAGGGGTGTTCATATCTGATCCAACTCGATTAATCCGACTTAAATTGATATAATCCAATCAAAAATCGATCCAAACCAATATAAAATTGGATTTGTTTAAATTATAAAATTTTAAAACCGATATAATTGATTTGATTTGTAGTTTTACCTTCAAATTGTCCAAACTGCCCGATTACAAAGTAATTCGATTGCAAGATAACTTAATTAAATAATATAATTGCCCAAACTGCCCGATTACAAAGTAATCCGATTGCAAGATAACTTAATTAAATAATATAATATATTTTTTGTAGTATTTTAAAATTTCTTTTTCTTATTTTACAAGATAATAACTCCATTAACTTAATTAAAAAATAAAAATATAATATCTCCATATTCCATAAGTTATTTTTTCATTTTAATCATGCATTCTAACCCTAATTCTAAATTTCTAATTCACCTGCAACTCTATCCCCTCAGAATTGGTTTACGCCTTTACTCTTAGAATCCTAAATTTATAATTTATTCTTAAAATAATCTTATGATTTTCCTAACTAAGTTTTAAATAAATATCATTCTAAAAGTCTTAAAATTATATAATAAAATTAGTCTTGATATTCTACTATTCTTGGATATTTGGTTTAGAAGTTTTAAATTTTAATTATGAACGCTTCTAATCAATTTTAGTGATACTCATGTTAAATATTATTTACTTTTAATAGTATTTAGAAGATGTGATTAAATTATTAGTGCATTAAGAAAAAAACTAATTTTAATTTTTAAAAATTATTTACACTATACTAGAAACTTGAAATCATATTTTATTGTTCTTGGTGCCTCTAGTGATGTAATCAAAAAGAATTTTCAGATTTTTTCAATTTTCAGATTTTTTCAATTTTTACAAATATAAAGAAGTATAAGAACTCGTCTATAATTTGTATTTTTTATTATGTTTTTACTGATTTGCATGCTAATGTGTTTTATAGTTATGCTTTCTATTTGATGTTAAAAGATTTTTACATTATCTTATATATTTAATAATGTTAAAAACCAATCAATCCAACTGAACCACATCGATCTGATTTAAGTTGGATTGGTTTGGTTATCATATAATAGTGGATTGGATTGGTTTAAAAATTTTATTAACCTATTAAATTAGATTAGTTTAAAAAATATTAAAATCCAAACCAAATCACACCGCGAACACCCCTACATATGGGTATATTATTTTCACACTTGTTACTTACTTAATCTTTTATAATTTAAATAAATATTTATCTAAACAAATAAAATACTTACAAATAACAGATACATTTCGTACGCAATGCTCACCTCTAACCCCATTTAGAAGCATATTTTTCTTTTCAGCCATCCATTTATTTGGGTGCGCATGGGCATGGGCATGGCAGTGAGTCTAATTTTTTAATAATAGTACTATAATTGTAGTTGCAAGTGGACTCTAAAGTACTTATGAGTTCGACTACTTACTTCGATCAACTTGCAAAGCCCTGAGGTGGGTCATCGGGGTAAACACTTCGATACCTAAGTCAGCAATAATCAGAGCTACCAGGTATGAATCAAGAGCTGAGCTTGAGTTCGGTTTCAATTACCTTTTGAGGAGGACCCTTGGGGGGTATTTATAGCCTTCAAAGGGGACATCCACATGTTGTTCTTCACAGGAAATCAGGATTATATGTGAAGATGCTCCCAGAAGGCTTCCCTAAAAGATCTCTATGTGTACGGAGTCACTGTAGAGTAGGAGCAAGGGGGATGAACTCGAGCTCGATTGAGCTCGCTGTTCCCTGACGTCAAGGTGACTAGGTTGGAAGTAGATCGGGTCGCCCGAGATACTTGACCTCGGGCTGGAATGAGGGACGTGACCCTTGACTATGTGACCTCGAACTACTACCACTACACTATTCCCCCCCTCGAAGTCATTCACTTGTGAATGATGAAGATTTGAATTGGATGTGGGGGTAGTTGGTATAGGTGAAGCGGGAATGACGGGTATAGGTCAAGGCCATGATGTATGGTGTTGTACCTATGATTTTGATGAGTACAAAATACATTTGAGTGACTAATTGATTTATTTAAGTGTGTAGTTAAATTGCCAATATACTGCAAAGTAAGCAAAATGAGATTGCATTAAAAAGGGTACAAAGGGTAAATATGTGCAGAGAGCCGGCTTAACAAAATTGCAATCGGCTCTGGGAAGCAAAAGTGCAGAGAGCCGGCTGCAGATTTTGTTGAGCCGACTCTATGGGCCAGAAATTCAACAGCTGTGTTGGCATGCGCGAAAAATGGAAGTAGAGCCGACTCCCACTTTGAAGCAGAGCCGGCTCCCACTTTGTAACCGACTGTGAGGGTGCATTTAATGCACAACGGTCGAGTTATTTGAAGATTATTTAATAGGTTTAAAGTTGGAATCCCAAAGCCGGCTCTAGGCTTTGCAGCCGGCTGTGGAAGAAAACAGAATGTGCAGGAAACTCGCAGAGCCGGTTGCAAAAATGGTGAGCCGGCTGTACAAAGCCGGCTCTCCTGACAATCTTACAACTCGAGCTTCGCGTCCTACAAGGCATTTAATGACCCCCAATGGCTAGAAACGGCTATTTTCAAGTAAGGAGCTATAAATATGGTTGGTAACATATATGAACAAGTTTAGAGAGCATTGTATTGAATATCTTTACCTACCTACATGAGCTTTAACTTGAGTTTTTGATCTTTGAGAGATCTTTGTTTGTAATCCTCTTCTTGTGCTATTAGTGAGTGATCTGTAGAGAGGATCTTTGCGGTTTAAGTGTAAAGGGGTGAGATTTAAGAGAAACACCATTCTTCTTGTAAAGGATTGAGTGGCTCCTTTAAGCCACCATTGTTTTTGTTAGTGGAGAGTGTGGAGGAAATCCTTGGTGAATGAAGCCAAGGTAGAGGACTAGGCTCCAAGTGGTTGGACCGAACCTCTATAAAATCATTGTGCAAGCTCTTCTTCTCCACTCTTTCTTTAATTTTTGTTTGGTGGTTGCAAAGAGGTGAAAATTCTCCAACTCCAATTCACCCCCTCTCTTGGAGTGCATTGAGTCAACATATGGTCTATCGAGGGTGGTGACATGAGGTTGAGGTGAATGGCTAGGGCTGAAGTGAAAAATCATGACTAGATTGTGTAATGTGGTCGGAGTCGAAGTAAAAATCATGACACATGGTCATGTGGTGCGGCCCGAGCCAAAGTAAAAATCGTGACACGTGGCCATGTAGTGCGGTCGGAGCCAAAGTAAAAGGTATGACACGGGTCAGGTAGTGCAGTCGGAGTCGAAGTAAAAAACATAACACGTGGTCATGTAGTGCGGCTGGAGCCGAAGTAAAAAGCATGACACGTGGTCATGCAGTGCGGCCGGAGCCAAAGTAAAAATCATAAGTATGAACTGACAGACGAAGTAGTTAATGTGGTTTAGTTGAATTTGGACCGATTCTTGAAATGGAATTGGAAAGGAAAACGGAATAATATATTATGAATTAATTTGAGGGGTGCTGACAGCTGTCCTCATGTGACGTGCTGTAATAAATGGCGCAGTCAAGAATAACTACCGAATTCGAAAGGACGCACTTGTAACCGTCGGATTTAAATGATCATGACCGTTGATGAGCAAGGAGGCTTCAGTATAAATAGCCGGGCTTGAGTTATTCAAAATTTACCTTGCTGATTTTATAGCGAAGCGCTGCCGAAGTGAGACAGGAGCACCTTGTTGTTTGAGCTTGCAGTTTTTCAGAAGATCTCTCAAGTGTTTTAGTTTGATCATCATAAGTTCAGGCAATCTCTTGAGCTCGACTTCTGATTTCGGAATCTAATCTAACTGGTTTCAAACTTAAGTCTGGTAGAGAACATGAGGAATAGGTTTGAGATCAAAGTAGGGAGTGAGGGAATTAGTACAGAATCTTAACTGTTCTCCCCATCCTACTTGTAGTGAGTCACGAAAGATGCCTTCAGAAAAGACACTGAGTATTGGAGGTGGAGAGTGGGAGCAAGAACTAAGCTCGACCAACGAGAGTGAAGTGGAGAGCTTGAGGAGTGGAAGGGGTTGGAGGTGAGATGGAAGAGGTGGCGATTCCTTCCAATGTGTTAGAGGTAGATCACGATAGGGCCAAGTTCTACAATGAGGAGGAAGAGGTGGTGTCCGAGGTGGTAGGGTATAATAGTATGTGAAGGAGCAGAAGTGACCACTCCCATTTAGTGGAGCAGTATTCCAGTCTGGAGCACGTTCTACTTAGGGATCATTGCATGTTAGTGTATGGGCACTACTTAATAGCTGGGCTTAGGTTTCCGGTGCCCGAGTTGTTAGTGGCGTTGTTGGTGGAGTACGAGCTAGGGATGACGCAACTTGTCCCAAATGCAGTTTTGCTAATCCTAAGGTTCCTAGTGTATTGCCGAACTTGAGGTGTTGTGCCCACGGTTAATATTTTTAAGGTTTTTTTTTCTAATAAAGGGGGTAGCAATAAGGAGAGGGGGTGATTTTATTTCACACCCCGGGTGGCTGGGGGGGAAAGAAAGAACTTGCTCAGCGTAGGTCCTTCATCTATAAAGGGATGGAAAGACAAGTTTTTCCTCGTGGATGACACAAAGTGAGGGAGGTCAGAGGTGAAGGTGACTGAGCTCAATAGGTGGAAAAGGAAGAAGTCAAACCCCAACTAGTATTCATTCAGTTCAGGGGAACAAGATAAAGTGGAGAGGTTGGAGAGAAGGGGTGGGGACTTGATGGGTATCATGTATTTCACTAGTCCGGCGATGTTAAAGGCGGTAGAGGTCTATGGGTCGAGCTCCATGAATGGAGGTCGGTTTACTTATTTTCAAGCACGTTTGAAGTACACAATAAAAGTTTTACTGACTTTTTCCTCATTTTGCAGAAGAAATGAATCGGCTTATGTCTAGAGGGAAAACCGTGACCCTGCCTGAGAAGAGGTCAAAGGCTCTAGCTGCCCACTCTGTGGGGGAAAGGGTATTGGGTGGGACTTCAAGGTCTTGCCCAGGCGGAAGTAGTCGAGCTGAAGTAGGGCCCAGCTTGGAGCAAGGAAGAAAGAGGGCTGAGGAGGTTACAGCTCAAAAGAGGATGAGGGTTAAGGAGGTGTAACAACCTTAGCCCGATGCACTAATCGAGTTTGTTCCTCGACCTCCACCAGTGTAGATTGAACCATCTATGCGTGAAGTGGGGGTGGTGACGCATGGGAAGGGGAAGAAGTCCCCCATCCCCACGCAGAAGTCGAGCTTCTACTAGAGTACAAGTAAAACTACTACTAAGCGCTTCATCATATCCACTTTTTCTGATGTGGATCTCAAAAGAGCCTGGCATGAGGTCGATGAGCATGGGGGTTCAAGTGTTGTGCGTCATGCGCTCGAGGTAAAAGCTCAAAACACTTTTTTTGTTTTTTTTTTTTACTTTGGCTCGTTTTGCAGACGGTGAATCTCATCAATGCCTTGGCAGTTGAATATTACAACTACTTAAAAGAAAGGAACAACCTGGTTGAGAAAAATGACGAGCTCAGCCAGCAAAAACAGTCGGCTAAGTAGAACTTCAATGACCTAACTTCGAAGCTCGAGAAAGTTAGGGAGAAGTTGGCTTCTGCCAAGGCGGCCACCGAGGCAGAGGTGGAGAAGAGGAGAAGAGCCGAGGAAGAGCTGGCTAAGGCGCGAGGGGAGTTGGTCGAGGTTCAGAAGAAAACTAAGTTGGAGGTGCACAACTCGATTGAGCAGCCTACGTTTTCAGAGATCGTGGACCTCTTCCGCATGCTTACACTTGTGATGGCATTCAATGATTGTTGGAAAAAGGTAAAGGCTCAGAATCTTGAGGTCGATGTGACAAAAATCACTTTCGGACCTCAGGAGGCTGGGGTGGAGAAGGATGGGGAGAGTAGAACAGCCAAGTTCCGCCTGAACATAACTCTTAGCTGGGAGCGAGACGAGGCTGGATGAACTGTGCTTCCCCTACATCTGAAGTACAAGTTCGTCGCCATAGACGAAGATGAGGTCGAGGTTCCTGTAACTGCCAAGGTCGAAGAGAATGCGACTAAGCAAAAGGTGGATCAACAGCATCTGATGATCAACTGCCTTTGGCCAATTTTGTAAATTTTAATGTAACCACATGATACTGTATTTTTTCAACAGAATGAATAAAAATTTTAACTTCACAGTATTTGTTGTACTTTACTGTTTTAAGGTAAATGCATGACTCAAGACATTTGGATAAGACAAAAATAAACTTAAACACAGTTCATTAAAACAAAGTAACCTTGGGGTTAATTTATAAGATCATGATCAGGGCTGAAGTGAAGTCTCAACTTCGACTTCGAAAATAAGATATTAAATGCAACATATTTAATCCGAGGTAGAAGTAAGTACCCCACCTCAACCTCAGAAAACATAATGTTTGAGTTGGATAAGACTAGACTTTATTAAAAGTAAAATTTCTTTAAATTGTTTACATTCCATACTTTAGGGACTCTTTTACCCTCGGCATCTTAAAGTACATAAGCGCCGGGGTGGGGTATTTCAGCCACTACATACGGACCTTCTCAGTTCCATGATAATTTGCCAAAGCGGGTTTCGAAGCCGGTGAGTCTTGCCTTTTTGAGGATGAGGTCACCGATCTTGAAGCTTCAAGGTTGGACTCGTTTATTGTAAAAGCTGGCAATCTTCTGTTTATATGCCACTATGCGAAGTCCAGCGTGCTGGCAGACTTTGTCCAAGAGGTCAAGGTTTTCTCGGAGTAGCAAGTCATTTCGGACTAGGTCGAAATGGCTAACTCTAAATCTCGGGACACCGAGTTCAACAGGAATAACTGCTTCAGTCCTAAAAGCAAAGTGATAGGGCGTTTTGCCTATTTCATTAAAAAGAGTTGTGGTTCACAAGTTTATTTAACGTAATTATTTATGACTTCGGATGAGAGATTTAAGATTATTAGCGTACCTGTGGCCGTCCGACTAGTAATTCAGTAAGCCCACAAGACGTTGTTGAGCTTGTCTACCCACTTAGCTTTGAGCTGGTCCAACCTCGGTTTGATCCCTTCCAGAATAGCTTTGTTCACCAATTCTACCATTTCGTTAATCTAAGGATGATAAATTGAAGTAAACAGTAATTTGATCTCATAACTGGAGCAGAAGTCCCTAAAGGAGGTGCAATTAAATTGAGGCCCATTGTCGGTAACAATCTAATTTGGTATTCCGTATCTATAGATGATCGAGCTAAAGACAAAATCTTCGATTTTTCTCGAGGTCAAACTGGACAGTGGTCGAGCTTCTAGCCATTTTTTGAAATAGTCGACTGCCACCATCAGGTGTGTCACTCCCCCCACACCTTTGACAAAAAGACCCAGTAGATCTATCCCTCGTTGGGCAAAGGGCCATGGTGCAACCAAGTTTGTGAGTTCTTTTGCTGGTAGGTGGGTTAGGTGTGCAAAGAATTGATACTTCTAGCACTTTTGGACATATTTCCTGGCATCTTCTTGCATGTTGGGCCAGTAATATCCCTAGCAAAGTATTTTGTGCGCCAAAAGTCTGAGTTCCAATATGACTTCCACATACACCCTCGTGCACCTCGTGGATGGCATATTCGGCCTCATACGAGGTTAAGCAACAAAGGAGGGGAAGTGAGTAGGAACTCTTATACAAGATACCGTCAAGCAAAGTGTATCTAGATGCTTTTCTTCGCAGCTTCACTTCTTCTTGTTTGTCGCTTGGGACGGTTCCATCTTGAAGATAGGCCTTGATGGGGTCTATCCAACTCGAAGTTTTAGAGTCGATACTAACCTCCAATACCTCTGGCTTCTAAAAGCTTGGTTCGTTAAGAACCTCAACATAAACAGATCTCCCACCTCGAGAATTATCAGAGGCTGACCTCAACAAAGAATCTGCATGTTCATTTTCTAACCTTGGGACTTTTGTGAGTCTAAATCTCTCAAACTGGCACCTCAGCTTAGAAACTATAGCCAGGCATTTGGCTAGAACAGGGTCTACAACTTCGTAGATAGAATTTACCTAATTGACCACAAGTTGGGAGTTACTATAGACCTGCAGAGATCTGACTTTCAGTTCGGCTGCTAAACGAAGTCCGAGAAGAAAGGCCTCATGTTCAGCCATGTTGTTGGTTGCTTCGAAGTTGAACTTCAGAGTATGCTCACTTCGAAAATTCTCAGGTCCAATCAGAACTACGCCAGCCCTTGACCCTTTACTGTTAAACGCCCCATCCACATAAAGAGTCCATTGTTCAACTTCGACGTCGGTGTTTTCTTCGTCAGAAGTGTATTCAACTACAAAGTCTGCTAAAGCTTGACCTCGGACTGATGATCTTTGCTGAAATGTAATCTGAAATTCTCCTAATTCCACTGCCCATTTGATGAGTCTGCCTGAACATTCTGGCTTGTGCAGAATCTGTCTCAAAGGTTGGTCAGTTAGGATAATAATGGGGTGGGCTTAAAAATATGGCCTTAGCTTCCTGGCTGTAGTGACGACCGCAAGAGCTGCTTTTTCTACTATGTAGTATCTCAGCTCGGCCCTTTGTAGCATTTTCCTAGTGTAATAAATTGGCCTCTGTAGCTATCCCATTTCTCTAATCAAGACTAAGCTCACTACTATGTCTGATATTCCGAGGTAGAGGTAAAGTATCTCGCACTCTTCAGCCTTGGTTAGCAGGGGTGGTGAGCTAAGGTATGCTTTGAGCTCGTCAAAGGAAGTTTGGCACTCCGGGGTCCATTCAAACTTCTTGGGCTTCCCCGCTTCGTCTTTTTGAGCTGCAAACCTCAGGACTTTGAAGAAAGGCAAGCATCTATCAGCTGCTTTTGAAATGAATTTGTGCAGAGTTGCCACCCGCCCAGTTAGGCGTTGTACATCTTTGATTGACTTTGGTGGTTTCATCTCTTCTATTGCCTTTATTTTTTGGGGATTGACCTCTATTCCCCTTCTAGAAACCAAGAATCCCAAGAATTTACCAGATTCAACTCCAAAGACGCACTTGGATGGGTTCAACTTTATGCTGTGCCTTCTTAGATTATCAAATGTCTCCTCTAGGTCGGTCAAGTGATCTTTTGCTTTAAGGCTCTTAACCACTATGTCGTCGACATAAACCTCCAAATTTCTATCGATTTGAGCTCGCAACACAATGGTCATCATTTTTTGGTATAGCCCCTGCATTCTTGAGTCCAAACGGCATCATGACATAACAATAAATCTCATCACCAGCGTAGAAGAAGGTCTTTACCTCGTTCTCGGATGCCATGTGGACCTGGTGATATCCCGAGTAAGGATCTAAAAGGCTAAGTCTTTTGTTCCCAAATGCGGCCTCTACTAGCTTGTCTATGCTTGGTAAGGGATGGCAGTCTTTCAGGTAAGCTTCATTTAGGTTGGTGTAATCAATGCACATTCGCCATTTGCCGTTTGACTTCTTGACTAAAATAAGGTTGCCGACCCATTCACAGTAGTCTACTCTTCTGACAAACCCTGCTTGCAAAAGCTTCTGTAATTCTTTTTTGATTGCTTGCAACCTCTCACCCCCAAATAGGCGTCTTTTCTGAGCTACAGGTTTCTTCAGAGGATTGGTGCTCAACTTGTGTACTGCAACCAAGGTGGGTATTCCAGGCATGTCAGCCGGGGTCCAGGCAAATACATCACTATTCGACTTCAGGAAGTTGATGAGTTCTTCCCTCTTCTATGGGTCTAATTTGGTCTCGATCTATGTTTTCCTATTGAGGTCATTGGCGTCAAGCTCTACCTCTTCTACTTCTTTTGTTGGCGTGGCTCTGGCCTTGTCATCGGGTCTATAATTTGATAGCTCAACACCCATTACCTGCTGTGTAGTTGAGATCTCAGGCTGAGCCAGCTCTAGGGGTGTGACCTGCTTATCCCTTCAAGGTCGGGAGATCGAGGTCATGTAGCAGTGCTTGGCCACCCCTTGGTTGCCTATTAGAGTTACTACTCCCATGGGGGTAGGGAATTTCATGCAGAGGTGGGACTGCGAGACAACAACTCAAATCTCAGTCAAAATTGGTCTTCCGATGACGTGTTAAAAGATGACGCTATCTTCACTACCAGAAACCGAACTGAGGGAGTGACATACGTCCGATTGAGCCGAATGCTACATTGAGCTTGAGGACTCTTTCCATAGGCACTGGCTGATTATTGAATCCGTAAATGGGGTCATCGTACTTTTGTAGAAGTGCAGGGTCAAGGCCAAGGCTCTGAAAGCAGTGATAATACATGATGTCCGGGGCACTTCCTATGTCAATAAAGACGCACTGAATTTCGCAGTTATTGACAATGACCAAGGTGACAAGTGAGTCATTGTGTGGCATGACGACACCATCAAAATTAGCTAAATTGAAGGTTATAGGTTGGTTCTTCTAGTCTGCCTCATCAAATTTCCTCTTCTGAGCTCGGTTTTGGTGTTTCACCTCCCTCATGTATAGCTTCTACTACTTTGAGCTCGTTCCTCCGGCTTCCAACCCCCCAATTATCATGTGAATGATTCGCGAAGGTGGAGGAAGTGGAGGTGGTGCTTGCTGATATCCAACCCCAATTCTGTTGCTTGCGTCCCAAGATGCTTGAGGTCATCCCTACTCTCGGACGAACTTGAGTTGGTCGTTGTTGGGAATGTAATCATTCAACATTCCTTTCTGAGCTAAACCTTCGAGCTCGGACTTCAAACTATGGCATTCCAAGGTGGTGTGTCTGTGGTCTTGATGAAGTCACAATACCTGCTATGGTCCCTAGAGGCAGGTGAACTTCGCATAGGTAGAGGCCTTCTAAGCTCCATTTTGTTCTTGATTTGCATTAAAATCTGTGACTCGGCAGTGTGAATGGAGTCCAAGTGATTTGCTTCGTTATAGGTTGTGGGGTAGTCAAGGGGGGTCTGTCAACTTTAGTTGGGAGTGGAACTCGGTTTTGTGCAGTTTTGAATCTCTTCTTGTTCTGCCCTTCATCTCTCCACGTTGGAGATCTGACCTCTTTGCTTGGTGTTGGCTTGCCGGATAACGCGTATTCCTCTGCCTAAATGAACTTCCAAGATCTTTCATTGGCTTCATCAAATATGGTGGAAGGGTGCTTTATCAGGCTGTCTCGAAATGTCTCGTGCTTAAGACCCTGGATTATGGCAGCTAATCCCATAGCCTGATTAAATGAGCCGATCTCTAGTACAGCATCGTTTAATCTGTTCATGTAATTCTTCAAAGATTCACCTTCCCTTTGAGCCACCCATATGAGCTCGGAGGTCGTCTTTCTGATCAGTCGTCGACTTGAGAACTTCGTTGCAAAAGATGCCACTAGCTTAGCATACAAACTGATCGAGTTCAACAGGAAACTGTAGTACCAAGTCTGAGCGTTCCCACGCGATGTGGAGGGAAATATTTTGCACATCAAGGCATTTAAAGCATTCTGAGCTTGCATGACAGAGCAGAATACGTGCAAGTGGTCATCAGGGTCCTTGGTACCATCATACGTCTCAAACTGAGGCATCTTGAATCCAGATGGGTACGGTTCTTGGATGATGTTGGTATTAAGGGGGGTAGGGATTGGGGTAGAGCTAGGCTAAGCCAAGGGTTGGGGATTTTGATTCTCGGCCACCATTATTTCTAGGTTGTCTAGCCTCTTGGAGACATCTGAGGCAATTGGTTGGGGCGGCTGTGGAGGTGGAGGTGCCATGTGGGAGTGGCCTTGGGATTCTCTCTAAGGCGGGACAGCAGTTCGAGGTGGTGAAATGACATTTTGCTGAGGCTGTTGATTGGGCGCTTGGTTGGTCGGATTTAATAGGTTGATGAGGGGGTCACTTGGGTTGTCTCTTGCTAGCAATTACACAAGCACAAGCTGAAAGACACCGAACTATTGTTGCATAGCATTGAGTTGGGTGGCTACAGGATCATTTGGGATCTCTGTTGAGTGTGGGTTATTCTCCCTGGTTCCTTCCACATGCTGATGCTGGGCTATAAAAGGTGGCACAGTATGAGACATAGGGTTTCCACTGAGGAATTGACCTCTTCCTCGGCCTTGTTGAGGGCTTCCATGCTGCGTTGACCATGTGTTAACCATCGTAGCAGCTACTAGCAAGGTTTTTAGCTCGGTTTCCCACAGAAGGCGCCAATGTTGTTGCAAAAGGACTCCAAAGTACTTCTGAATTCGACTGCTTACTTCGGTCAACCTGCAAAGCCCCGAGGTGGGTCTTCGGAGTAGACACTCCGATACCTAAGTCAGCAATAATCAGAACTACCAGGTATGAATCAAGAGTTGAGTTTGAGTTCAGTTTCAATTACCTTTTGAGGAGGACCCTTGGGGGGTATTTATAGCCTTCAAATGGGACATCCACATGTTGTTCTTTATGGGAAATCAAGATTATATGTGTCGATGATCCCAGAAGGCATCCCTAAAAGATCTCTGTGTGTACAGAGTCACTGTAGAGTAGGAGCAAGAGGGATGAACTTGAGCTCGACTGAGCTCGCTATTCCCTGACGTCAAGGTGACTAGGTTGGAAGTAGATCGGATCGCCCAAGGTACTTGACCTCGGGCTAAAATGAGGGACATGACCTCGGACTATGTGACCTTAGACTACTACCACTACAGTAATGATATGATTTTTATCTACCAGTATACAATAAAAACCCAAATTCAAAACAAAACTTTTAACAATAATTCCTAAAATTTTAAATATCTAATGAAATTAACCAATGTAAAATCAATTCAAAAAATTAAAAGAAAAATTAGAAGAATCTCGTCACTGTGATAAAAACCAAAAACTTACAAAAAAAATAAATATATTTTAGCAAACATGAAGCAGTTGTTGGTATCGACAGCAATTTCATCTCTGCCATGCTGCTGTTCTGCTTTTCAATTTATTTTTCTTTTTTTATTATTTTTACTTTTAAAAACAAAAGCATGACTAATGTCCAATGGGTATAAGCAAAACGTTATTAAATCCTATATACGAAAATAGGATTTCATTATACATAATACTTCAACATAAGTTTTACAACAATTTTACGATAATAATACTATATAAAATTATAACACGTAAAATTTATAACTTTATATAGCATCTTTTACACTAAAAAATTTTCACATAATGTTTGTAAAACTATAGTTATTAACATCATACCGTATCGATCAATACGGTTGATATATATCGATTTTTATATTGAATCGAAACGATACATAATCTAATTTTGTTTCAATCAAATTTTGGTTATTTTAGTCAAATTTTTGTATATCAACTGATATTTTGACGTACCGATTTGTACACAAATATTAACTGGTACACTCAATTCAAATTAAAAAAAAAAAAAGATAAATTTCATTTTTGGTTCTCAATTTTAATGTTTTACATAATTTTCATCTTTTAATTTTTTTATATACTTTTTTAGTTCATTAACTATGAAAAATATATATTTTTTAGTTCTTCTATCAATTACTTCATTAAATTTGTCTAAATATACAAAATTTTAATCCCTTAACTTAAAATAAATAGATGAAAAATATACATATATTAGAAGTTAAGGAACTAAAAATGGTAATTTTAAACTTGTTTTCAATTTATAGGAATATGATAGTTTAAATATTAGTATCTTTTATATTATTTTAAAATTTGATATTTAATTTATAAAAATATATATTTATAGCGATAAATCTAAAACAATACGCAAAAAATATCAATATCCGATATGTACCACTCGAGTAACAAAATAGTACGCATGCTGGTATGGTATTTACAATTTTGTGTAAAACACTACAATTTTTTTTTAAAAAAATACGAGTAATTTGACACCAACAAATACTTTTGAACGAAGATGCTTCAAATCCCGTCCTTTGACTATACATCTCTTATACATTACAGGATTATTGAGCTAAACTTTAATCTATAAAAATCAGAAATGTTGAGACACGTGTCAAACAAAATGGAGATGGGAAATACAAGTATGTAAATTACAATATTAGGCCGTACCAAAGACTTCCTTTGTAACATAATGGTAAGAGCAAAAATGTAGGCCAGGACCATTGTTGCTATTGAAATGATGAGTGCAGAAATAGCAAACATCAGTTGCCAAGGCAGAACTCGATGAAAATTATTTTTACCATGGGATAATGTGAGTATATTCAGGAATCCCAACAAGGAAATTGATGCAGTAAAGAGGGACATTGCATCACATATTATAAACCAGGAAAGCAGTTTTCTGTGCAATAATTTGAAGATGCCGGGGTGTTGATTTTTCCCTCCAAGATCTTTAAAAAGTACTGCAAATGTAACGGTAACAATTAAAGCAGTTGCGAGGACATAAGACCTTGCAGTTTCCATGGCTCATTCATTTGCTTCTTTAGTCATTTTGTGGTGTTCTCTGAAAAAAACTTGGTCTGGAGTTTTACCATAAAGATTTTTGGCTCCTAGATACCAGCATGGAAGAACACTCTTAACCTCCTGCCATTTTATAACATTATTATAGAAAAAAAATTGTTTAATTATAGAAATAAAAGAAATATGCAGTGAGAGTTAATTGACAACCTTGAACAACTTTATTTCGTATTACATAACCCAAGCTAGATAGAGATTATTAAGGCCACGGTCAGGTAACTTGACTATTAGATGCAAAAGATGTATCCGCATGTTTTTACAAAAAAATGACTTGTGGAATGAAAATTTTGAAAGTTATTTTATAAGTTTTCTTCATGTAATTTTTCATTGACTTCACTAATTTTCTTTTAACTTATTCTCTATTGACTTTCCAAACATAAAAGAATATGTGATTTTCCATTGACTTTGCTAGTTTTCTTTTAACTTATTTTCTATAGACTTTCAAAACATGAAAAAATGTAAAAATTAATTTTAAAAAGTCATTTTTTGCGAACAAAATGCATCTTCAAGACTTGTAACAGGTTTTTAATTTTTTTTTAAATGGTTTTATTGAAGTAGACCTGGTAGAGGTTCTTTTTCAGAGTCTTTGCGGAGCTTTTATCCTTGTGACTACAGATTGTGACAAGGGAGTCAATATCGTATCGATATACGTATTGATTTTGTTATTGAACGAAACGTATCAGATATCAAAATTTTTCACGTATCGTTTTGGATTTATCATTATAAATATATATTTTTATAAATTAAATATCAAATTTTAAAATAATATAAGGGATATTAATATTTAAAAACTATCATATTTCTATAAATTGAAAATAAGTTTAAAATGATCATTTTTAGTCCCTCAACTTTTAATATATGCATATTTTTCATCCATTCACTTTAAATTAAAGGACTAAAAATTTATATATTTAGATAAATTTAACAAAATAATTGATAAAAGAATTAAAAAAAATGAAGAATGGACAAAAAAAGTATATAAAAAAATTAAAAAATGAAAATTATGTAAAACATTAAATTTGAGGACCAAAAATAAAATTTACTCTTTTTTAATTTGAATTGATTTGTATGGACAATTTTTGTATACCGGCTAAAATTGCAATTGCAAGAAGCCCCTAGCCCAAAACAATATCGTTTTGGGATAGGGGAATCAATTTTTTTTTTAATTTGCTAGTGTGTACAAATTGAAATTTCAGTGAATTAGTCGATATCTCAAAATTTTGATTGATACATCAGATTTTGATGGAACCAATTGAATTTTGATAGAAACAAATATTCATATTATATCATTTTGCTCAATACAAAAAATTGGTACGATCGAATACCGTACGAAATCAACTTATTTGGATTGGGAACCTCCTGCAATGCCAATTTCTTACAACCTTCAAGACGCGCTCCAATTGTCCGTGTAAGATCCGTCAAAGATGTCGGTCTTCACTTGATGATCCCTTTGCTCATAGTTTTGTTTTACCTTTCGTTTGCCTTTGATCGCGGCCCATATTAGCTGAACTTTATGTCTTTATCACATTTGCTTTTATGGTCTTAGTGGGCCTGTGCAACCATTGTAAGTTTTTTATGGCCAACCAATTATTATAAATTGTGACTTCCGCTTTCTAATATGGGATTAGTGTTCTGGGCTCGTGTACCTAGATGCCAACCAATTATTCGTAAGTTGTAACTTTTGCGAGTAATTGTGTAAATAAAAATATTAATTTTATATTTTTTTATTTAAAAACATTAATTTTATTAATTTTTAAATAAAAATGTTATTTTTTTAAAAATATTATTTTTTAATTTTTTTATTTAAAAGTGTTAACTTTCAATAGTTTAGTAAAAAATATGTTAACCATGTCAATATCATCATTTAATTAATACTTAAAAAATTAAAAATTTGTATCTTTAAATAAAAAAAATTTACAACCTTATTTAAAAATTAATAAAATTATTATCCTTAAATAAAAAAAATATAAAGTTGATATCCTTCCCTGTACATTTTTTTACTTTTGCTTTCTAATATGGGTTTACTGTTCTGGGCTCATGTACCTAGATGTCAATCTAGGTATGGGCTAACTGGTATGGGCTTGGGTAACCCGAGGTCAGTCTCAGTCTGGATTTAACTGGCCCACCCCCTTATTTTCCTTTCCCGCGACCGGGGCCCATATTTGCTGTCCTTTTTGTTCCTTTTTATGGTGATATACTCAGAGTGGGTTTTTCTTTGTTTATACAAATTATTTAATTTTGTTAATAAATTTATCTATTTTAATTATTAATTTTTTAAAACCCCATAGTTATTTATTTTCTTAATTGGTTAAATTTTTTCTCTTACATAAAATTAATTGATTATTATATTTTAAAATTCTATATTAATTTATCATGAAAATATATATTAACTTAATTTTAAAAAATTTGTTAATCAAAAGGAATAATTAAAATTTTGGTTTACTTTTATTTAAAAATATAAATCTTTTCTATCCAATACTAATCATAATAATAAATTTTTTACCCACCATTCATCATTTACCATTCACTAATCATTATTACAATTAGATGGATTTTAAATGTTGTACCAAACATGCCCTTAATTGTATTTACCTATGAATTCAAATAATAAAAAAACTAGAAGAAATCTAAAATAGTAAAGATATCAAGAATTTAAAGATGAAAATGATATAAATAAAATATAGGCGAAAAAAACCTTTCCACCCTTGATTTTATTAGTAAAATGCAAATACAAACTTGACATAAACTTTAATAGAAGACGATGACATATTAACAATTAGAAATCAATAAATTCAAAATATCCTTCTAAAATATATTTAAATTATTATTTTTTAAATAATAAAAATCAAATACAATTAAAAAATAGGTTAAAAACAAATTTATGTTTCCAGCATCTATGTTTTTGACACATGAAAATCAAAGTGAACAAGAGTTAAATTTTTCAAACCCAGCGGCGGAGCCAGGGGGTGCGAGGGTGGCGCTCGCCCCCCCTGAAATTTAGAAAATCTTGCAATTAGTTTATAAAAAATTATTTAGCCTCTCCTGAACTTTAAAAATTTTAGTGTTTTGCCCCCCGAAAAAAATTTCTGCCTCCGCCCTGTTCAAACCCCCACTAACATAAAACAATTAATAGTTATATTAAATTATTGATACACCACCTCTGAATTTAAATTAAAATTCTATGTCACAGCAAACTTTAACATTAATAATATTACAATAAACATAGAGGCATAGAGCACATCCAAATCCGGAGAAAAAATAAGCACACAAGACCACGCAACGTGCGGAATTTAGGTTCTAGTACACGTGCAGAAGGGATGATACTTAACCACGCATATATTGAAACAGGATAGTGGACTTGTTCAAAGATAAAATCTGAAAACGGGTCGAAACTTCATTTTCTATTAAAAAATTCTGAAAACTAAAATCTCACGAAGAGGGACAAAGTGTTTCAGAAAAATGTAGACATATGGACCGCCAAGGAAAACTGCAGAGAAAATGGTGCTCTGCAAAGTAGAATTGTCAGGAAGCAAAAGTTCAACAGAAGCTCTAAAGCTCAATAGCATGCTTCCAATGGACCAGAATAGAAAATAGAAGCTGCAGGTCAACTTGGCAGTAAAGTGTCCAGTTAGGAAATCTTCCTTGGTAAGACCCGACTCATGGATATGCAAAAAATACAAGACTGAGAGAGCTGCAAAATAGAAAGAAAGTTGGTCCCATGTTAAGAACTCCCCAAAGGATGCTCTTTTAGAGAAGTTAGGGTAGCCATCCTGGTCATTATTACCACCAGGAACAGTAATAGCCGCTGCAAACATAATGCCAATGAGGAGAACGCCTATAATTGCAGCAAAATTTACTGTTTCTTTCACCCATATTTGAGCTTCTTTAAGTAAACCCTCGTGTTCCCTACCAAACACTTCTAAAGGAGTTTCGTCATTTTTATTTCTGTGTTCTCTATAAAATCTTGGAACAATGCGTTCAACTTCCTGAAATAATTAATTTGTTAAGTGAGAAACTGATGTTTAAAATGGACTAGCTTTATTGAATGAATTCTTAACTATATAAAAATAAGTGCTTGTCAATTTATTTTTAAAAAATTAAATTAAATTAAAAAAATATTTTAAAATTACATCGACC